AACACATCCAGAGGTGGTGATTCCACCACCTCCCTGGGAAGAGCATTCCAGTACTTTATTATTCTTTATTATTCTTTATTATTCTTTATTATTCTTTGCTATTCCTTATTATTCTTTATTATTCTTTCGATGAAAAACTTTTTCCTAATATCCAACCTGTACCTTCCCTGACATAGCTGGAGACTGTGTCCTCTTGATTGCTGTGGTGCTGACAGGGATGTTTGTGCCCCAATGTGCTGTGCTGCCCCTGGGACGTGCCCCAAAACCTCCCAGAGGATCTGCTTTCATGGCATGGCTGATGGTGATGCCAGATTTCAGTCGTGCCCTGTTCCAGGTGCCTCCACACCAGATCCCATGGTGATGCCAAGGCTGGAGCTCCATGCCAGAGGTCAGTGCTGCCCCCAGGGACACCTGACTGTGCTCAGCTCCTCTGGGATCCACCCCTGACTGCCCAGCAGCATCCAGAGTGGATCAGTGCCCAGGCTGGAATGCTGAGGGCGCTGGGGGAGCTCAGCCCCAGCTGCAGGAATTGATGGTGCTGTTTTCTAGGGATAACCCTGAAGGTTTCCCAGGCTCATGGAGTCAGTCCTCAAGTCCCCATCGTGTGCCACTGGATGTGCTCAGGATGCCAGGGGGGCAGGAGCACACCCACCAAAATGTTCTTCAGCAGCCAGGCTTGGAAATGGCAGGAGGTGATAATTTCTGTTCCTCCCGAGGAGTCATTTACCAACATTTTATATGGGGCTGTAAGAGCACGGAATTACTTGCTGCCTTTCAGGACCTTTAAAATTATCTCCATTGCAAGGGAAAATTAAAGCAATGGAAGAATAGGGACCTATCTTTTATAGTGCATTAAAAAATACCCAGTCTGAAGGTTACTGAACCTGTGCTTTCTGTAAGGGAGAGCTAATCCAGACAATCCCCAGCAGTCTTTTTACTGCTCCACTCTGATCTCCCTGGCACAAAATCCGTGAGCAGATTATCTTGGGAGCAGCAATGCTGATAAGCAGAGGGACTTAAGGCTTTTTGGACTCCTTTTTAATTAGTTCTATAGTGGGGTTTTTGTGTGCACACCTCAACTTGTCCTGCCGTGGAGCTCTGCAGGGCTCTCTAAAGCAGTCACACCTGCCTTGGGAGGGTAAGGAGCGTGCTCCATCATCACCTCCAGGCTTTGCTGGAGCTTTTTCTGGGAGTGTCAGTGGCTTTTCCACATGTTGGGATGTGAAATTCTTTTCCTTGCAGCATCCCAGGCTACGGAGAGGGCGGCTGTGCCACCAAGGGCAGGGGCTGGGCAAGGGAGCAGAGCTCAGATCCATCACCACATTTTTTTGCCTCTCATCCCACAGGTATAAATAGAAGCTCCTTCAGCCTGGCCTCACCCTGGGCTCAGCCAGGAAATGTCAGCAATAAACAATAAATTCCTGCTGACTTGGGGACACATCTGCTGCTCCTGCTGCCCCCCAATCACCCCCTGGCCCCCTGAATTAATCAAAACACCCAAAGGTGGGGTTTTTTCTCCCAAAGGTCAGTGGGAGAAGAGGCCACCTTCCCGTGCAAGTGGGATCTATTTTTCCTTTTAGAGGCTGTGTTAAAAGGCAGGCCCTGGCCAGAGCCTTCCCATCAATCTCTCCCAGCTCACGGGCAGGAAAGAGGGTCAGAACCTGCTAATGAGTTCAGTTTTCCTAATGGTTATTTTATCATTGGAGCAGAATAATTGTAATAATAATGATACATCCTGCCTGCTGTCTGGAGAGCGCCAAGCTGCCTTTGTAAAGCCTGACAAAGGCATTTATTTATATTTTTTATTTGCAGCCTCTGTGATTAGAGGGCAGTGTTCAGAATAGCCCAGTCGAGTTAAATAATCCTGGTAGCAGTGCTTTGAGTCTAATTGCTGCCCTTTTCTCTTTTAGGTACTTGCTCCCCTAATTAAGATCACAATCGAGCTGCATCTCGAGTGGGAGGGGGAAAGCAATTAAAGGAGGGGGATTAGGTTGCTCTGCAGAGGTTTTGGGCCCGATCCTGCCAGCTGGGCATGCAGGGTTCCCAGAGCCAGGGCTGGATGTGCTGCTGGGAGTGGGAGCAGTGGGACAGGGTTGGTGGCTTGTGCTGAGCCCTGCAGCAGCACAGGGCTGGGATGGGGCTCCTGGGGCTTCTCTGGGTGCTCCTGTGGGGTGCAGGGGTGGCTCCTACCCCTGCTGGAGCGAGCTGGAGGTGTCCTGCAGCTCCTCAGCCCTGAGGATCTCCAGCTTTGTCTGGGCTGGGTCCATCCCTGGCTGTGCAGTCCCAGGATATCACCCTGTCCTGAACGTGTCCCGTGAGCCCTGGGCACCTCCTGGCTCTGGTGGAGTGCTCACCTCCAGCTCCACAGCAGCACCTTGGCTGCCAAACCCCTTTCTGGCAAACTTTTCCTCCTCCCCTTATCAATCAGCCACAATTTTAAGCAATTAGCACTCATTGTGCTGATGTTTCCATGTCCCTCTGCCCAAGGGCAGGCCCTTCCTTGGGAATTGAGACTCACCATCCATAAAAAACCCTCTCTGCTTAGAAAAACCTCTCCAGGGCAGGAGCAGAGGTGGGAGGGCATGGCCAGGGGTGCAGGGCTCCATTTCCAAGAGGAATGGGAGCTGCTGGATGTTTGCTCATGGACATGCAGAGCTCCAGCTCTGGGAGCAATGGGAGCTGCTGGATATTTGCTCATGGACATGCAGGGCTCCATTTCCAAGAGGGATGGGAATTGCTGGATGTTTGCTCATGGACATGCAGGGCTCCATTTCCAAGAGGAATGGGAATTGCTGGATATTTGCTCATGGACATGCAGGGCTCCATTTCCAAGAGGAATGGGAATTGCTGGATGTTTTCTCATGGACATGCAGGGCTCCAGCTCCAGGAGCAATGGGAGCTGCTGGATATTTGCTCATGGACATGCAGGGCTCCATTTCCAAGAGGAATGGGAATTGCTGGATGTTTTCTCATGGACATGCAGGGCTCCAGCTCCAGGAGCAATGGGAGCTGCTGGATGTTTGCTCATGGACATGCAGAGCTCAGGGCAGGACCTGAGTCCCCACCTGCAGAACGAGCTCCTGCTGCTGTCTGAAGGTGATTTTAGGTGTTTTCAGCAGGGCTCCCCACTGTCCTCGCCCCTGGGCCAGGCTGGGGCTCTGTCAGTGTTTCCTGGCCGAGCTCTTGTTTGCCTGCCAAGCTGTTTAATTTGTTTTATAAATTGCCAAATGCAGCAGGCTGAACCGCGGGCCCCCTTCTGTGATAAAAATAAAATAACAGCTTGAACTCGGAGGGCAGAGCGGTGGGGCTGGCAGGAAATGCTGATTAAAGGGCAGGTGGAAATGATGAGGCTCCGAAACCGGAGCTTTCATCTTCCGCTCTTGAGTGAAAAATGCAGATTTGGGAAGTTTTGCTGACTGGGTTTGTGGAGCCTCCAGCTCCTTGAGCTGCCCAGCACTGAGAGCACCCAGAGCTGTGCTGGTGCTGCCTCCCTGCAGGGTGTGCAGGGGCTTTAGCTGGGAATTATTGCTCTGGAAATGCTCATTGGAGCCAGACCCAGAGATGGAGCACGAGGCACAGCAGGGTTGGCCTCACCCCTCATCTTCCCCTGGCAGGTAAAACCCCTCTGATTTGTGCCTTGCCCAGACCAGGAGCTAATGTGCCATGAAATTGCTGCACAACCAGGGGGGTACATTATTCTGGCAGAACTCTCTCTGGGTGTTTGCTCTGCTTTGAACTCAAGATATTTTCTTGGGAGAAATGATTTTTTTTTTTTGCCAGCAGGCAAACCTGTAGCTCCTTTGCCTTTGGGCTGGGAGATCACTGTGAAATTGCAGTAGGATGGTTTTGGTCCCCTGAATATCCTTAAACTCCGTGAGTGCCTTGCTGCTATCAATGCTGGGGGAAAAAAAACACTTTATTTTCTCCCATAAAGTTTGTCCAACTCTTCTCCACTCAGCAAACCCTGCTTTGATATTAAGCAAAACTGTTCTGGTTTTTATTTTGGATGTTTTCTCACGTTCTGAACACAGCAGGAAGGTGCAGTTACCTTGGAAACAGCTGTGGGATGGTGCTTGGTGGCAGGGCAGCACTCAGGCAAAACTCTTTTGGGGAGGTGGGCATGGAAAAGTGGGGTTTGCTGGGCCCAGAGCCACCCTGGAAGCTCCAGGCTGGTGTCAGGTAAAGCTGGGCCAGGGCAGAGGCTGCTCCATGTCCAGGCTTTGGTGTGCAAACCAGGCCTGGCAGCCTTGGAGAAGGTTAAGCCATGTTTTTGGGAAGCCTGTCTTTTTAAGGCTTTGGATTAGTGAGATTTGCTCAGATCATCCAAAGGGAAAGAATCCCTCAAATCAAAAGGGCTTCTGCTGCTGAGGCTCATCAGGTTTTGTCCTGCTCCTGTGTCCCATCCCAGGAGACGCTGCCACTCCTGGATCCTGAGGATGCCATAAAGGAACACTGAGCTGATTAAAAGCTTGTTGGTGTTTTTCATTTTAACCAGGAAAGTATTTCCATCCTCACTGGGTTTAATTTACAGTTTGCAGCCAGATTGGAGCTGGGAAGGGATCCCACTGGTGGCTCATTTGTTTGAAGGTGTCGCTATACAAATACACGCTCTGGGAATGCCAGCGGCGCTGGAGGGGAGGATGCACCAACAGAAGCTCTCAGCTGTGTCCCAGCCATTCCCAAAATCTTCCCAGGGGACATCCTTCATCTCCTGGGGGACAGGGAGCTGCTGGATGCAGCCAGGCTGCTGAGGGATGGGGATAACCCAGGTGAGAGCCCATGGAAGCAAAGCTGTGGCTGCAGAGCTGCACCCACTCATCCTCACTCCTCTCCCAGGGCTGTGCCAGCCAACCTGGGAATGGCCACGTTTCATAACAGGGCTCCCAGCAGGATGCTTTGTGCTTTATAATGCCCGCAGCTGCTCTTTAGCATCTCCTTGAGTGCGCAGAGGGAGAGCAGCCCCGTGCTTGCAGGTTAATCACATCTCTCCTCCCTTGCAGCCGCGCTGGGGACGCTGGATTTCAGCTTGCTCTACGACCAGGAGAACAACGCTCTGCACTGCACCATCAACAAAGCCAAGGTAGGGCCCAGCCTGGCTGGGGGGACAGCAGGGACTGCCTGTGCCATGGGGAACGTGACCCATGGCTGTGACAAGGGAATGTGACCCACGGGAATGTGACCCATGGCTGTGCCAAGGGAATCCGACCCATCCCTGTGCCAAGGTCTTAGGAAAATTAATCCACAAGCACCAGAGGTTTATGTCCAAAAAGCAGACAGAGGAGTCCTTTTTGGCTTTATTCCAATAAAGGGAGAGGCCATGGGGTATTCCTCTGGCATCTCTTGAATTTTTGGAGGACACAGCCTCCTTTTTATCCCAATTTCCCAGCCTCATTTTTCTTCTCTCTTCCCCCATTTCTGAGGTACTTGAGAGATTCAGACTTCCCAAAACACCTGATACCAAAGACTCCCCTCTAATGCATAACACTCCATTTTAGTTTTTAATTCTTACAGAATTTAGGAGTTTTTCTTCCCCATTGTTTCTTTCAATGTCTAATTTCGTTTATCAGCAAACCTAAAGTTTATTCGTAAAAGCAAATCTCTTTTTTTCCATTCATCAACCAATGGAACCCTTCCCATTGTTTCTTTTCTCTCCCAGCGCTGGTTTTATCTACCAGCAGACCCATAGCTTGTTTGGAAAGACAAATTTGCCATTCCTCTCAGAGGGAACCCGACCCATGGCTGTGCCAAGGGAATCTGACCCATGGCTGTGCCAAGGGAATCTGACCCATGGCTGTGCCGAGGGAACCCCATCCATGGCTTTGCCAAGCATCCCTGGGTTCCATCCCCTCCCCAACCCCTCTGCCCTCTCCTTCCCCTCCAGCCCTGCCTCTCAGGGCGTTCCCAGGCTCGGGAGCCGGCTGCTCATCCCCCGTGACGAGCAGGGATTGATGGCTGATGCTTTTTCCAGCAGCCCATCCCGATGTTGTTATTTACTGTGACCGGCTGTCGGTTTATAAATGGCTCTTTTAAATGCTGCTAATCACGGCCCCAAAGTGCTGCCGTCTGCGTGATTGAGGCAATTAGGGGCTTTTTTTTGCGCATTTGGGAGCAGGAACAGGGAGACGAGGTCCTGATGCAGCCTGTGGGAGATGCTGCTGGGTTCCCCTCTGCATCACACAGTGACCATCGGAGAGGGCTCCTGATGGGCTCGGGGGAAGCACCTCAATCCCTGCAGATCTTGGGAAGGGATGGGGGTTTGGAGAAGGCAGGAGAAGAGGCTAAGCCCCTTCAGAGGGTCAGACCACGCTGTTTGCCTCCATAGGATGCTCCTCTCCCCCTTCCATGGCTCGTTTGCTGTGGTTCTCCATGGCTGGAACACCAGCAGCAAAACTGGATTTTGGGGATGGGGGTGGAAGGATTTACCCCAGCTCTCCTGGAGCTGCTCCTGGCCAGGGCAGCACCCCCAGGTGCCAGCAGGGCAGGGCTGGGGCAGACTCTGGGCTCTGCTCCCCTCCCTGTCTCCTGTGGATCCGCCGGGTCAGGCTTCCCTCGGCGCGCACGGGAGCCGAGCCAAGGAGGAGATTTCTAATTGGGTTTGGAGTGGGTGGAAGGCAGCGAGGAAGGAGAGAGCTCTGGGCAGCCACTGATAAATCTCACATCAGCAATGGCACAAGCAGGGCTGGCACAGGAGAGCCCTGGTCCCTGCCGTGCCCACCCAGGGCTGTGGGGGTACCCCAGCATCACCCCCGTGCCCCTGGGGAGGGCAGAGCCACCCTGACATTCAAGCTCTCGAGTCCTGTTCATTTCCATTCTGCTCTCATTCTCCCATTTTTCTCTTTTATTTACATTGCCATCTGCTCGCTCTCATTTCATCTCTCGCCTGGGGAAAGCTGCCAAAACTTGACTACAGAAAGGTAAGGGCCAGGACCCCGCTGGCTCCGGGGCTGGGACAGGCAGAGCTGGAGAGGAGGAGATGGGGAAAAAGCCCCAGCAGGACTGGGATGTGATTTACCCTTGGATTTACCCTCCTGGGTGGCTGTGCACCCTCCAGGGACATGCTGTGCCCAGCTCCAGCAGCTCCTGGAGCTTTGATTGCTGCCAGCAGCCATTCAAACCTATCCCAGCCACGTGAGACACGTTTTTCTTTCTCTCTGGTAACCCCAAACAACCTCCCTCTCTCCCTTTATTTTACTTCTCTTTACTATTTCTTTTTTTAAATCTCCAGCACTTTTATATCTGCTTCTGTTCCTCACGAGTCCCATTATCACTCCAGCAGGTTCAATCCAACCTGTGGTGCCCCACCAGCCATTCCCTGCTCTGAGGGCTTCACTCCACGTGGGGATTCACCCTGCTGCTGCTGTGCCTGGGAATATTTGGGAGGCGTTTTCTGAGGGGTTTCTGAGGGGTGTAAGTTCACAGCAGGATTTGGGAAACTCTGGGAGTCACCAGACAGGTGGTAGCAGGCAGAAACAAGGAGGAACAGGCAAAAGCAGACAGGAACAGGCAGGAGCAGGCAGGGACAGGCAAAAGCAGACAGGAACAAGGAGCAACAGGCAGGAGAAGGCAGGAACAGGCAGGAGAAGCCAGGAAGAGGCAGGAACAGGCAAAACCAGACAGAAACAAGGAGGAACAGGCAGGAGAAGCCAGGAAAAGGCAGGAGCAGGCAGGGTCAAGCAGGAGCAGGCAAAAGCAGACAGGAAAAGGGAAGAACAGGCAGGAGCAGGCAGAAAAAGGCAGGAACAGGCAGGAGCAGGAAAAAGCAGCCAGGAACAAGGAGAAACAGGCAGGAGCATGCAGGAAAAGGCAGGAGCAAGGAGGAAAAGGCAGGAACAGGCAGGAGCAGCCAGGAACAGGCAGGAAAAGGCACAAGCATCCAGGAAAAGGCAGGGACATGCAGGAACAGCCAGGAACAAGGCGGAAAAGGCAGGAAAAGCAGGAGCAGCCAGGAACAGGCAGGAACAAGGAGGAAAAGCAGGAGCAGCCAGGCTGGCAGCACCACCTGGCCCTGCTGGCTCTCAGCAGTCCTGCCCGTCACACTTCAGGCACGGCTGAGCTCAGACACGCTGTAGCTCAGCTCGGATCAATAGCAGAATAAATCAGGGCGTTGTGGGAGCTCATTCCTGGACTGCAGGAGCAGCCAGGCTGGCAGGAGGGCTCTGCCTCTGCCCTGGACAATCCCTGGGATTGTGTGGGTCTCTGCTGTCCTGCGTGGGACAGGGCTCTGGGGTGTGCTGGGCATCACCCCCTCCTGGAAAATAGGATGGAAAAGGGTTTGGTGAATGTGCAGCCACCTGGTTTGGTACCCTGTCATGCCATGGCTTTGCTGAGGATCTCACTTTGTGCTCAGTCCATAGGGGATTTGTAGGGGCATACAGCACAGTCACAGCAGGATGTGCTATCCTACAACTCCAGTGATCTCCTGCTTTTGGGAGAAAGATACCTGGGATGAGCCTAAGGGGGCTGCAGGGCAATGGTGAAGGATGCTCCAGGCAGCTGCTGCCCCTTGGAGCATCCTTGGGCTGCTCTCCCTGCACCTCTGGCCAGAAAACATCCAGGAGCTTCCACCCCACTGAGCATTTGGCTGCTCCCTCCCTCCCTTCCACCCGAGGTGAGTGCTGGAGGTCTGCACTCATCATTACTTATGTATTGACTCATAAATATTCATCACTGCGGGGAGATTCCTCCAGCTGTCGGGCTCCTCTGGGCTGGCAGGGTGGAAATGCAGTTTGTCCCCTTTTTCCAGAATGGGATGGCTCAGCCAGGCTGGATTTTGGGCAGGCAGCTGGTTGTGGGGTGAGGGATGGAATGGATCCATCTCCTGCGATTTCTGGCCGCCTCTAGCGCGGCGTTAATCGGCAGCCCCCGATTAGCCCGAGCTGTAATTAAATCCTATTGATTAGCTAAATGTCACTGGCACGGGGAGCAGCTGGCAGAGCCTGGCATGTGCAGGGAGCTGGAGGTCTCTGTGGGATTGCAGCAGAGATTTTTGGGGTTGGGTAGAGGAAGGGAAAAGATGAAACTTTATCTCAGCTCCAAGAAACAGCGCAGCAGCAGCAATAGGAAGGGCTGGAGCCAGGGATTTACCCCAGATGGATCTGGGGGTGACTCTGTGCCTTGTCTGCCTCTCATCCCTCTTGGAGGAGCTCCAGGTGGTGGTCCCTGCACCCAGAGGGGGTTCTCCCTTTGTGGGAGGGACCCTTGCAAAGCAGAGCCCTGCTAAATTCAGCTGTTTGTGCCAAACACGTATCCAGTGACACGGGAGGGAGGTAGACGTGACATTAGGAGCCATTTTCCAGGCTCCTGTCACTCCATCTTCCATAGCACATCTATTAAAAAAGCCTTTAATAGCCTCCTCAGAAGGTAATTTAATTGAGCTGAATTGATGGATGAATTACAGAGCTGCCTGTCATTCTCCATCCATTTTCCTGGGAATCTGCCTGCTCCGTGCTGATCTCATTTGCTGTGCAGCCCGGGCAGGTTGGGCACCTCTGGCCAGGGACAGCACCAGTGGATTGTGCAGAGCCTGGGGACAGCCCAGCCCCTTCCTGCCCTGCCTGCCCCATCCCCATCATCTCCTGGCCCAGAGGCATCACCCCAGAGGCTCCACTCAAAGCAGGTTCACCTCTGTTCACTGCTGATATTTTTATCCTTTTGGCTTTGCTGTAGAAGCAAAATCCTCTTTGCTGGGCACCATTTGGCCTCCCTTGCCCCAGCGCAGCAGGTTTGTCTCTGTGGCAGAGCCCTTGCTCCAAGTCAGGAGCATCCTGGACAAAACTGCAGCTCAGAGAAGGTCCTGTGGTGCTATAGGTCAGGCTGGGTGAGTTAATCCCTACCTGATTATGATTCCCCCAGCATTTCCCTGCTGGATTTGCCCAGATCCTGGATGGCTGCATTCCTTCTGCACGCAGAATTCCATACAAATGCTTCCCTGCCACTGGATCCTGGCAGCTGCACACACACACTCATTATCCAGGCACTCTGCTCCTCACAACAAGGCTGTGAGGACTCTTCAGCATCCCCCTGGAGCCAGGATTGGTAGAGATTGGTACCTCTGCAGAAAGCCCTGCTCTGATCCAGGCACAGCCCTGCCTTCAGCCAGCCCAGCAGTAATTCCTGCAGGGATCCCACAGCCAGGCTGGAAATAATCCAAGGGCTTCCACCACGGAGCCATTCTCATTTCTACTTAGGGCTGCTGAAAATTAGGCTCCATTTCTCACCCTCTTGACTTGCTTCCCTTCGCTGTGGAGTTGTTTGTCCATGCACTCTGTTCAGGTGTGGCTTTGATCTGGAATTGTGCATCACCTCTGGATCATTTTTGGGGGGTTTAGAAGAGGAACAGAGGCACAGCTTGTCCCTCCCTGATAACAAACCTGATCCACATCATCCTCTAAGAGCTGAGAGGGTCTTGTAGAAAACCCATCAGGGATGGCCACAGGGAGTGTTTCCTTGGATTGGTTCCTCCTGCAACCCCAAATTTACTCTGTGAACACCACAGCATCTGGCTGGCACCAGCCTCCCACTGGCCTGGAGCTGTTCTTCCTTAATAACCAAGAGTAGGTAGGTGCTATCACACCCTCTGCAAGTGGCACCACAACAGCAGAGGTGTGTGTTTGCTCAGAAGCAATTATTCAATGACAGAACCCTGTAATTTCAAAGCTGGGAAATCACTGCACTGATTCTCTTTCACCCCCAAGTGAATGTGATGAGGGAGGGAGGGTTGGATGGTGCCATGTGCAGGTGAGGAGCTTCCCACAGCCCCTCAGACTGGAATGCTGAGCCTGGATCCTGCAGAATCCACTCTCCCCTCCTTCCCCAAGCCTGGGGAAGCCACAGCAGCTCTACAGACCCCAGGATGGGCTCAGTGAAATCCCCTGCACCCCTCTGCCCTCCTGATTCCTGCTTTTTGCTGTTCCCTCTGCAGGGCCTGAAGCCAATGGACCACAATGGTTTGGCTGATCCTTATGTCAAGCTGCACTTGCTCCCCGGGGCCAGCAAGGTGAGAAACCTTTTCATTCTCCTTCCTTTTCTGGGGTTGCAGCTTCTCATTGGAAATCAGGCCTGGGGGAAGCTCCTCACCCAGGAGCTGTGGGCTGCTGCACCCAGAGCTTGAGTTTCTCAAGTGAAAGGTTCTCAGAGAGAGCAGGAGGAAGGAATTGGGGTTGAATCCATCCTTACAGGGATGGAAAGTGCCTTGCTGGGAAACCACTGGCTGGCAGCCAGGTGCCAGCCCTGATTGTTTACCTTGTGAGCCCAGCATGGGAATGCTGCATTCCAGGAGCCCCGGGAAGCACTGAGTGAAACATCCTCAGCCATAAACAAATCAGACCTTTTTAATTCCCTTTTTTTTTTCCCCCACCCTTATCCTTTTGCATTTAAAACCCCTCAGATCATAATAAAACAGAGTATAAATCATAAGGGAAATATTTCCATCTCCTTAGGTTCAGCACTTGCTGGAAAGAAGAGTAATTAAAGATATTGATGTGTGGTGAGAGCTGGGTGTAAGTGACGGGGATGTGGAATTTAAATGCTCGATGTGTGTGTCAGGAATATTAATTGCACTCTTATTCCACACGAAAGGAAAAACCTTTTTTTTGGGGAGAGGGGAGGTGTATTTACTTGTTACAGTTCAGTTGGATTAATTCCCAATGCTCAGGGTGGCAGAGGGAGTTTTTAACCACATCCTGAATTTCCGCTGCGCGCGGAGCCGCGAGCGCTCTCGGCAGCAATATCATCATCATCATCCCCATGTTTTGCAAATCCATTGATTAGCATTGCTGCTGGAGCTGGGGGAGGCAGGAGGGGAGGGAACACAGGAGCTGCAGATCCACAGGCCATGGGGGAGCCTCTCCTTGCCCCATCTCTGTGCTCTGTTCCAAACAGCACCGCCCTGGGAGAGGGGAGCAGCTCTGGGGGTTTGGGATTTGTCCTGGGCTAGTTGTTCCACCCTGAGTCCCTCAGGTGTTTCTGTCCCAGATTTGGGCTCTCAGGTACCTCTGGGTGTGGGAGCAGGGCTGGGTTCATTCCCCATGCAGAGCTGGTGCTGACTCCTGAGTCATCCCAGATGGGAGGAAAAGGCATTCCCTGAGCTCAGCTCCTCTGATCTCACTCCTGTCCCTTCCCAGGGCAGCTTTGGCAGCTGGGTGATGTTCATGTCACCCCACTTTCCTTCCCAGTCCCTGGAGCCCCAGGGATCAGGGTCTGGTACCTGCAGACCTGAGCAAGCTGTGGTGCTATTGGTGTACCTTCCCTGCTCTCCTCATCACTCAGGGCTCCTGAACCCGGGGTGGGGAATGCAGCAGCACCCCACACAGATCCATAAGACACCTTGGAGGTGTGGATGTGCTGAGGCAGGGATTGAGTTGTCTGACACCTCATTAGAGGGAAAATTGCTGCTCTGCCAGGCGGTGCCAGGCTGGGAGCCGGGTGGAGAAGCCCAATCTGCAGCCTCAGCCTCTTCTTTCTGCTGTCCCCAGATGTGAGAGGGGCTCAGGGAGCGAGGAGATCCCTGTCCCCTGGGCTGTGTGCCAGGATGTCCCATCCATGCAGGGGACACAAGCTCTGCTGTCCCCATCCTCCTGCTGGTGCTGACAAAACACCTGCCAGGGAAGTTGTTTGGAGTCAGGCAGGATTGAGAGCTGTGCTGGGAGCAGGAGTGCAAACAAACAGCCAGAACAGCAAATCAGCATTTTTTTATTTAATCCAGAAAGGATTTTTCCCCTCTCTTGCTCTCTCTTACTGCTTAAATGAAATCCTGGTCCGTGCTCTGCCAAGGTTCCCATTTTGCTGGCTGTCTCCAGGATGAGGGGCTGGGATGGTTTGGAAATGAGTGAGTTGCTGTGTCCCTGCCCCTCAGGTTTTTGCTGGATTAGGGGTGGATTTGGGCCACCCCAATGAGGGTACCAGCACTGGGACAGAACAGTGATGGCACCCATTGTCCCTTTGTCCCCAAACTGGGCTGTGGCATTTGCTGGGTCCCCAGGATGAAGGAGGAATTGAGAATCTGACTCCATGTTCTTAGAAGGCTAATATATTATATTATATTATATTATATTATATTATATTATATTTTTTATATTTTATTAAATGTTTTATTTTATTTTATAATAAAATATAATTTATTTATTTTATACTTTATTTATATTATAATTATAATTATTATTATATTATAATTATACTAAAGAATAGAGAAAGGGCCCTTACGGAAGGTTTAACAAGGCATTAATTAAAAACTCGTGACTGACTCCTCAGAGTCCCGACACAGTTTGGACAGTGATTGGTCATTAAGTAAAAACAATTCACATGTTGGATGAGCAATCTTCAAACCACACTCCAAAGCAGCAAAACACGAGAGAAACAATCAGATAAAACAATCAGATAAAACAATCAGATAATTATTGTTTTCAGTTTTCTCTGAGGCTTCTCAGCTCCCCAGAGGAAGAAATCCCGGCGAAGGGATTTTCCAGCAAACATGGCAGTGACACTGGGCCTCCTCTGCTGCCCAGATGACCAACCCCACTGACCCCACCTGCTCTGCTTTGCCAGGCAAACAAGCTGAGAACCAAAACGCTGAGGAACACCCTGAACCCCACATGGAACGAGACCCTCACCTACTATGGCATCACCGATGAGGACATGATCCGCAAGACGCTCAGGTGGGTCCCACCCGGGGGCACATCCTCCCTTCCTTCCCCCAGCACCCTGCCAGCTGTGCCTCCCTGTTGGGGAAGATGAAGCAGGAAAGCCTTATCAATATGGTTGGCAAAAGATTTTGAGAATATGGAAACTGTAAGTGAGATTGAAATGAAAGCAAGCTTTGAGATCCCTCAGTTACTGAACAACTGGAAAACAATGGTGTGGCCAGCTGAAGGTAATCCCCTTTTGATGGAACAGGCCCAATGTCAGAGCAGACCCTACAGCTTCGCAGAAGGGGCCCAAAGAGGAGTTTTTAGGGTTTAAAATGTTACACAGTATGGTAATGTAATGATTCTTATAGGCTGTATGTAAATGCTGTAGGATTTGTATATTGTACTAGATTGGTTAGTGAGAATCAGAATATTCAACACAGAAGAAGATTTATTGTATTGTAACGGGAACTTTGCTCTCTTAGCTCTTACCTCTTGTCTCTTCGCTCTTGCCTTTTACGCTCTTAGCCCCTTTACTTTCTTATGCTTTTACTCTCTCACCCTCTCATCCTCTCTCCCCCTGTCTTCTCTCAATCTTGCTCTGAGCTGTGGCTGCAGCTCCAGCAGGGCCCTGCACCCAGGCCCTCTGCAATAAACCCCAAATCCCAAAAAGTCCCTGCACCCAGGCCCTTTGCAATAAAGCCCAAGTTCCACGACCTGGCCTCAAAGATCTCTCATCTCCATCCGTCCTGACCATGCTACCCCCATCAATCCTACACCTCCCCACCCCAGGGACAATGCCACCCTCACTCAGCCCCACAGGAGATGCTGGAGCTGCTCCCAGCAGGGCAGAGCAGAGTTATCCCCATCAAACCCAGAGTTGGGGTGTGTGCCCTGCATCACCCCCAGAGCCTCTGACAGATTATTCACAGGGCTGGGGAAAGCAGTGAGGAGCCTGTTCCTGCTGCATCTTTACCTTCAGAGCCCTCTGGCTGGCTCCTGCCTGCCCAGGTGCTGTGGTTTGGGTTTAACCTCTCCATGCTCAGCTCTCATGGGCACGTGTTGAGGCTTTGTGGTTGTGTCTTGCTGAGAAAATCTCCTCAGGGATGTTCTGGGCCCCCTTCAGAGCTGAGCTTTTTGTTGAATTATTGTCCAGCCAATCAAAGAATGCAAGTCTTTATTTCATTGTTTTGTTTTGCTGGTTCAGTCTGTGCATTCAGCATCTCCCAGGGGCTGGGAGAGGCTGTGTGAGGGTGGAGCTGGGCAGGGGCAGAGCTTGGAATGCTGCTCTGCAGGGAGCTGACACCTGTGAGTGCAAAGATTTCTCATGTTTTGGCCTCTGCCCCACCTGGATGAGGGCAGGAATTGTGGGCAGCCCCAGGTGCTCCATCAGCACACTGATCTGGGGCTGTTCTGCAGGATTTGCTGTAAGATCTGGCAAAGAAAGGATTTTACACTGGCAAAGAAGGGATTTTACATCCTTCTGCAAGCACTCAGGGCTTTGCCAGCTCCGTGGCTGCAATCCCACCCTCCTCACCTGCAGATGCCCTGTTTTTTTGTGATTTTCCCCCTGCCAGGAGCTCAAAGCTGCCTGCTGGAAGGTGAACCAGGGCAGAGCCCACCTGTTGTCTGCAGAGTGCAGGGTGTTGGGGAATTCAGCACCGTGGATTATTATTATTATTTCACTTGGAAAGCATTAGTCATGCTGGAAGTGCTGCAGGCTGGTGGGGCTGGGAAGCCTCCAGTTTGTTGTTATTATTGGTGGGTGTTTTTTCCACTGCAGGCTTTGAAGTTTGCAGCCTCCTCAAGCGTGGAAATGGGTTTGTAAGGAGATGTTGGCCAAGTTGTTTGCTGGAAGCAGACAGGGAGCAGCAGGGCTCGACCCCCGTTCCTCCAGGGCTCTGGGATTTCATTCTCCCTTGGGAAGGGCTGTTGATCCTGGAGCTGTGAGATGGAGGATGCACCAAAGTATATGCAGGGCTGGATTTGCCTTTTTCCCCACAGAAATCCTGCTCTGCCCCATCCCATTCCTGCCTGACAACCTATGGAGATCCTTGTGCCCTCCCCAAAGCTCAGAACTGTGCATGGACCCCTGTACCCCACCTAGAATCCCTCAGCCTGCAGGAGAATGTGGCTGGATGGACTTTAAAGATAATTTCCTTTGGGCAGGGACATCTCTACTATCCCAGGCTGCTCCAAGCTCTGTCCAACCTGGCCTTGGGCACTTCCAGGGATCCAGGAGCAGCCACAGCTTCACTGGGCACCCTGTGCCCACCCTCCCAGGGAAGGATTTATCCCCAATATCCCATCTAAACTGGCCATCTGTCAGTGTTTTGGTGTGGCTGGAGCTGTTTCTCTGCTCTGAGCTGGCCCTTCACTCCCCACAGGAAACATCTCCATGCACTGGGTGCTCTGCTTCACCCATCCATCTTCTCCTCCAAATATCTCCTTCTCCACGAGGAAAAGCCAACTTCAGAGCCAGCAGGACTCTGGTTTTCCCTGTGTTAATCAGTTGAGGCTCCTGCCAGGCAGCTGCTGCTGCTTGAAAGAGCATCAGTGATGCTCCATGGGTCTGGGTGGTGCCCATTCCCTGGGAGCCTCCCTGGTGCTGAGCTGGGCAGGGAATGCAATTCCAGAGTCTCTTTAATGTGAAAATAAAGGCAGAGAGATCAAAGCTGCCTCCCTGCAGCCTGGAGATGTGGCAGGGAAGCTGGAAAAGCACCCAGAAAGAAAAAAATAATCTTCTCTGCCCACCTGGTGGGACGTGTCCAGCATGGATTGCTGGGGCGGTGCTGGCATGGGGCACCCTGACAGGGCCTGCAGCTTTTTGGAAGGGACAAGTGGCATTTGTCAGGACATCCCAGAGGGTTTGGTGTTGGATCTCCTCCTTCCCAAGCCCCCCAACCCCAAATCATAGCCAGATTCTCCCTCATCCCTGCGTGGCCTTGTCCAAAGTGGTGCAGTGACTTTGCTGTCCCACCTCCCTGAGGTGAAGGAGAGGTGAAGGCAGCCCAGCTAATTGCTCTGGCAAGCAGGGTTTTGTTAATGAAGCAACCCCCTCAGAAAGCAGCAGATATTTGGGATTTCGTGGACAGCAGCAGGTGGGAGGATCTCGAAAGGTCTCATCCATTCATTGAATTAAATATCCCTGAGTGTAGCCCAAGGCTTAGCAGGGATGAAGCCACCCACCAGCCTGGGAAAAGGCAGGTTCAGAGCCGTGCAAAACACCCTGGAGTGCACAGATGGATGGGACTGGGGACAAATTCCCTGCCTGCAGCAAGGGGGAAATCCCACCCTGGAGCCCCCCTTCCCACCACGGGGTACAATGTCAGGGGGAGGCAGAGAAATGCTGCAGGGGAAGCTGGAACAGGCAGGATACAATCTCCCCCAGTTAAATAATAGATGTAATATACAATAAATAAATTGCATTCATAATAAATACCCGAGCTGGCCAGATATTGGATACAATTATTCATATCCAGATATATTGGCGAGCTGATGCATTATTCATGGGCTACTCAGCTAGCCCACGAATGCCAGGAATTCTTTGTTTAATCATGTGTTTGACAAACATCATGACTCATTAAATGTATTATTCAGAAAATAGTATTTGATCAGGACTAATAAGCTGAGTGCAGCCACTTCAAGGTTTGGGGTCCCAAATTGCTTTAGTCTGGATGAATGAGGCTTGCTTGGAATTGCAGGTGCACTTGTAATTACAGCTCATTTCTGCTGTGCTTTCTGTGCTCAGACTTGGAGGCATTTTGTGGTGGAGCCCATGATGGAATCCTCCTTTTGTTTTCTGGAGAACTGGCCTTTCCCAAAGTGTTATTTTTTCTCCTTGCCTGGTGTGGCCTGTCCTTGAACCAAGCCAGCATCACCTGCTCCTCACGGGGAGCCTCCCTTGGGGATTTTAGGCACAGGGGATGATCTCAAGCTCTGCTCTGGGTGTTTTTATAGAAAAGGGTCCTTGCTGACCCCCATTTCCCCTTTCCACACTGGGAAGGAGCCCGTGTGAGGGAGCAGAAGCCATGAGTCAGCTGCTGGAGCTGCTCAGTGAGTCAGGGCTGGAGCCCAGGAGCCCGGGCTGAGTGGGAGGGAGGAGAAGTTTAATGAGCAGTGATTGTTCATTTGCTGCTTAGTTTCCTTCCAAGGTGCTTTTCACAGCCATTAATGTAAAGATCAGGACCCCACGGTGAAGATATCAAATGGAACACCGGGCTGGAGGGATTTGGGTTAATAAGGAGAGATGAGGAAGGGGTGAAGCTCCAGTTCCAGGCTGGGGATGGAAGGGGAATGAAGCTGCCAGAGGCAACTCGTGCTGTTTGTCATGGGGCTGATTTTGTAACCCAAGGCATGAAAATTCCATCACATGGATCTCTCCTAATGAAATCCAAGCTGGTGTGATTGCAGTATGCCCTTTTCCAAAGGGAGGGATGGGGCTGGAGCTTCCTGCTCGTCTCACTCAAAGCTCACTGCCCTCACTGCTGGGCCAGTGCTGGAAATCCCATTCCAGTGGGGATGAACTGCAGCTGGGAGGAGGAACTGGGGCTGGGACTGGCAGAGGTGGCACAAAACCCCCTCTGGGCATCACAACAGATGGGCACAAATGTGGGGACCAGAGATGCCGCAGGGAAAAGGGGCTGGGATGGACCTGGAGGTGTCTCCAGCTCCTCTGTGCTGCTCAGGGCAGGGACAGCCCCCAGTGCCAAAATCCACTTCCCAAGGGCCCTCCCATGTCCCTGAGGGCACTGAAACAGGGCCCAGTGTGACACTGGAGATGCTTGCTTTCCCTGCCACCACCACTGGAGTTTTCCACATTTCCCCCTGGGCTTTTGCCCATCCTGAGGCTCCTGAGCTCTCACAGCAAGCAGGACGTTGTGTTTGGGATCTTGCTGTGCTTCCCTGGACATTGCCAGGAGAATTGTCACGTTTTTAAGAGGTAAACCATCCCAACCCCTGTCTCCCTGAGTGCCCAGGAGCCAACACCACTCCTCAATTTCTGGGTGTAGGCACAGATCCTGGGCTGCCAGCTCCCTGTGTCCCCTCGTGTCCCCTCTTGTCCCCTCCACACTCCTGGCAAGTGCAGTGGAGCTCTGGAGCTGCTGCCGCTGCTGCTCCTTTGCAGGTTTTGTTCTTTACAAGAAAGAGGAGAGGAAATGGGGAATATTGTGCCTGCATTTGAGATTCTCTTTGAGGATTTCAGCCTTGTGGTGGGGTGGTTTTTGCTGTGGGTATCTATAGTAACGCTGCATCCAGCACACTTTTCTGGAGAGCAGCATTCCCTGTTTTCCTGCTCATGTCATTATTTTTTTTCCCCAAACCCCTTTTCTGTGCTGCTCCCCAGCCCTGATGATCCCTGTGCTGTGGCACTGAGACATCCCCATGGCTTCCTTGCTGCTCATTTGTGAGCGTGAGGGTGGTCAAACCATCCTTGGTACGGCACTAAAGCATCCACAGATAAATAATCTATTGATAAATAGATTTATGGGCTGGGATAACCCATCCATGGATAAACCATCCAGATGTTGAACAGGCCAGAGGTGTGCTGTGTAATTATTTACTCTCAGGGGGGATCACAGGGCATTATTTATCTTTAATTACTTTTCCCCCTTCCTCTGTGGTCCCTGGGGGCACAATGCCACCCATAGGGAGATGGACACCAAAGGGAGTGGGTGTTTTTTTGTTTTTTTATGGAGAAAGGATGGAAGGGAAAGGAAAATAAATTTCTTTCCTTCATGGGCAGGGAGGCCAGCCAGTCCCTGCATGGCTCCAGTGGGGATGCAGGATGCTCCCTAAGGATGGGGATGGTTTTCCCCATTCCCAGCCCTGCTTCTCCCTCAGGGCACCCTCCTGGCCCTCTGGGATTTGGGGAGCTGCAAGCAGAGGCTCCTGCAAGCACTGACTTTGCTCCTCTGCCAGGAGCAGCACAGGAATGACTCATGAGCTGCCAGCTCAGGGAAAGGCAGTGGTGGCTTTTTCATGGAAAAGCTTTTTCCATGGAAAACAGCCTGGGCTCAGCCACACCTCACTGGGGTGCACCCCAGGATCCCAGCAGGGCTGGGAGAGCTTCACCTGCCAGAGGTGTGGCATTTCCCATGCTCTGGGTGTGGGAATCACTCCTGCCTTGTCTGCCTGGCGGGGCAGGAGGTGGCAGAGCTGCTCTGTGTCCCAGGCAGGGTCACCCTGGGAGCTGCCAGCTCCAGCAGTGCCTGAGATCCTCAGGAAGGAGCTGTGTGGGAAGCAGGCTTCTCCCAGCCACACAAGGGAGGGCTGAGGAAGAGCCTCCATGGCTGGGCAAAATGCAGCTCCAGCAACTCTGAATAATTTTGCTTCAGTCGCTGATGACTCTGATGTTTTAATGGAAGGGTCATTAGGGTGGTTGCTTGCTTTTCCAGCAGTGCCTGGGCTGGGATGTGCATTTAGGCACAGAGAGTCACACCCTGAGCTGCCCTGGCCGGGCTGCGCCCGTTCCATTCCATTCCATTCCATTCCATTCCATTCCATTCCATTCCATTCCATTCCACCCCACCCCATCCCATCCCATCCCATCCCAGCTGTTTTCCAGCTGCCAGGAGAGGAGCTGCCCTGTCCGTGGCCTGGACAAGGGTGACCTCAGCTGCTCCCTCCCTGTGGGGACCCTGCCCTGTCTCCAGTGTCCCTGCTCACCCCGTGCTCTTGCAGGATCTCGGTGTGTGACGAGGACAAGTTCCGGCACAACGAGTTCATCGGCGAGACGCGCATCCCGCTGAAGAAACTGAAACCCAACCAGACCAAAAACTTCAACATCTGCCTGGAGAAGCAGCTGCCGGTGAGTGAGGGGCATTCAGAGCTTCACCCTACCCTGGAATCACAGGCACAGCAGCTTCTCCCTGTGGCATGTGGGAATGTGGAGCTGTTTGGCCCCTCAAACATAATCAGGGATGTGGGGAAGAGCATCCCTTGGCTGGGGAGGTGTCTGGCTGTGGCTGTACCCCAGCACAGCCCCCAGACTGGGTGCATTCCCTCCCCAGATAGATAAAACAGAGGACAAGTCGCTGGAGGAGCGTGGCAGGATCCTCATCTCCCTCAAGTACAGCTCGCAGAAGCAGGGGCTGCAGGTGGGCATCATGCGCTGCGCCCACCTGGCTGCCATGGATGCCAACGGCTACTCCGACCCCTACGTCAAAATGTGAGTGTCACCCCTCAAAATGTGAGTGTCACCCATTGAAATGTAAGTGTCACCCATTGAAATGTGAGTGTCACCCGTCAAAATGTGAGTGTCACCCATTGAAATGTGGTCAAAATGTGAGTGTCACCCATTGAAATGTGAGCGTCACCCATTGAAATGTGAGTGTCGTCTGTCAAAATGTGGTCAAAATGTGAGTGCCCCCCGTCAAAATATGAGTGTTATTCATCAAAATGTGAGTGTCACCCTCGGCCCTGCTGTCCCCTCCCGCCCCTCCCCGCAGCGGGAATTAATTGCTCTCATTAGGAGATGCAAACGAGGCCGTCAGGCAGCAGCCTGCCCCTGCCTGGGGCATTATTCCCTGGCATTGTTTGACAGAGCTTGCAGGTGAGGTGGGCACAGCCCTTGGTGCTGAGGGGATGTCTCTGTCTCACCACAGCTCCAGGTTTTTTTGGGATGGAATTTTTCAAATTCACTCCCTGCCTGTCCCAACTCCTTGTCCCCACTGTGCTGAACTGGAATTTGGGCACTTTTAGGGATGGGATTTGCTAAGGCAGAACCACTGGGAGAAACCTCACCTGGGAGACCTAGGGATGGAGTTCATCAGCAGCACGCTTTCACCTTCTTATTTAATTGGTTTTTAGGGGTGGAGGTGTTTGTATAAAAATCCCCTGTTGCTTTTTTAGATGCCCATGGGAGGCTCAGCCCCTGAGCAGCACAATTGCCATTCCACCCAGCCAGTTTTGGGTGTCCCCTGTACCATCCTCAGGAGATTGCATCTGCAGGGATCAGAGCAGATAGGGAACTGATGCTTCTCAGTACAAGCCCTAATTTTTTAATTATCAGCAAGATCTGGAACGTGTAGCAAGGAAGCAGAACCGATGTTTAAAGGCGCAGCACCAGCACAAAACCACGATGGGTTGGCTTTGGCCTGGCCCACATTTCAGGTCCCCTCTCTGCCTGATGACACTTTAATCTTGTTTGCTGTCCAGAACATCAGCAGGGAACTGCTCAAAGCTGCTCCAAGCTGCTCCAAGCTGCTCCATTTCCCACCCTGCATGTGGTTCCTGTCTCCTGGAGAGGCTCTGCATGAGCAGACCAGTCACAACCCAGAGTGTGGACAGGTCCTGGGCTGGGAGTGCTGGTTTTGGAGAGCATTTTGTGTGCAGTGCCAGTGTCCCCTAGGGACTGGAGATGGGATAATCGGTGCTCTCTGACGGCAGCTGGCTCGGTTCTGAGGAGGGGAAATGCTGAAATGCTGCCTCCTCCCAGCTGGCCCCAGCATCTTGGCAGGGGAGGAGGATCTGGAGGTTCAGGGGGCTCAGTCACCCACCCCACCCCGGCTCTGCTCAGGAGCTGCAGCCACTGATGTCCCCACCCGTGTTCTCCTGCCCTCCTCACTGGGACCCACCTTGGTCTCATTGCAGTTACTTGAAACCAGATGAGGACAAGAAATCCAAGCACAAGACAGCAGTGAAGAAGAAAACGCTGAACCCCGAGTTCAATGAGGTGGGTGTGGTTCTCGCCAAGGGGCTCTTCTCAACCTCAGACTTAAAAGATAAAAATTCACCACCTTGGTCACTGTGTGAGGGATTGGGTTGGGTTCCCCGTGGGCAGCAGAGCCTGAGGAGGAGGAGGAGGATGGGCAGCCCCAGCCCCTGGCTCATCCTGGCTCTGCCTCTGCTCTCCACAGGAGTTTTTCTATGAGATAAAGCACGGTGACCTGGCAAAGAAGACCCTGGAAGTCACTGTGTGGGACTATGACATCGGGAAATCCAACGATTTTATAGGTGAGCTGCACTCTCCAGAAGGTCTCCTTGGCCTCTTTTCTATTTATCTTTGCTGTCTGTGCCTCTCATTTCTCCTGCACTCCTCCACCCCCCTGGTTTGTTCTCCATGCCCACATTCATTCAGGCTGGGTTTCTGTTCTGCTTTTATCCCTCTCCTGCACCTGAGCCTCTCACACAGCATCCAAGCAGGGAGAAAATGCATCTGCCTCTCCCCTTCTGTTTTCAGATGTTTTCCTCCGAGTGCAAAACATGTTTAACAGGGAGGTTTCATTTATCTCTGTTGGATGTCTGGGCTGTTTGTGATTTTGTCTCTGGTCACTGTGATTTATCACTAACAAGTGCCTGGTACCTCTGACAGCCCCTGTGATTGCAGTGAGCCCTTGCCACAGGGGACAGGGGCACTGCCTGGGGCTGGGGCAATGCCTGGGACAGATCCCACACCACATCCACGAGGGTGTGGGGAATTTGGGCTGGGTTTCACATCAGTTTGGATGCCATGAGGATGCTGATGAATCCTAATAAAACCTGGCTCCCTCCAGCATCCCCCTCTGTGACGGTGTTCACAGGGGTCTGAGGATGAGGGAAGAGATGAGGATGTGACTCCATGTTTCACAAGGCTTGATTTATTATTTTATGATATATATATATAAAATACATATATACCTTATATATTTTATATATATTCTTATATATAATATAACATCTAATATTATATATTAGATATTATATATTATAATATATATATTATATTAAAACTATACTAAAAGAATAGAAGAAAAGATTTAATCAGAAGGCTAGCTAAGAATAGAAAAAGAAAGAATGATAACAAAAGCTTGTGGCTTGGACTCTCTGTCCAAGCCAGCTGGACTGTGATTGGCCATTAATTAGCAACAACTCTATGAGAGCAATCACAGATGCACCTGTTGCATTCCACAGCAGCAGATAACCATTGTTTACATTTTGTTCCTGAGGCCTCTGAACTTCTCAGGAGGAAAAATCCTAAGGAAAGGATTTTTCAGAGAATATCATGGCTGCACCTCTCAGCATCTCTCAGCATCAGCTGATGCTCCCCCACACCTCTCCCTCTCTTTCTGTCCTCCCAAGGTGGAGTCGTGCTGGGAATCAATGCCAAAGGGGAGCGGCTCAAGCACTGGTTCGACTGCCTGAAGAACAAGGACAAGAAGATCGAGCGCTGGCACACGCTGACCAACGAGCTGCCGGGCGCCGTGCTCAGCGACTGAGCCCCGCGGCTGCACAGCCTTGGGCTCCTCCCAGCTTTGGATTTGGGGGATCCCAGGACAGCCAGGACAGCAGGACACCCCCCAGCAGGGCCTGGCTGCAGGGAAGCCCTTCCCAGGGAAGAAGGCACAGGTGGTTTGCTCTGGCGTCTCCAGAACGCCTCTTTGCGCCCTGCCGCACTCGCAGCCCCGCTCTGCAGCGTGCACTGCACACTCACACTCACACTCACGCAGGTGTGCGCCCCTGCATGCACTGCAGTCTGGCTCCTCTCCCAAATCCTGCCTCTACTCACAGTTTACCTTCTCGCTGCCTTGCAAGTCAGTGGCAAAAAAAAAAAAAATGAATGCGTCCGTCCGCGTCCGTGTGTCCGGCATCGGCAAAAGGCGTCCCCAAAAAACACACACAGAACCCAGAACTGTCTCCCTGGAGGCAGCTTGTGCCATATCTCTGGTGGTTTGTCAGTCTCTGTGGTTTGGGCCTAAACAGTCTTTTCTGCATTTCAAGCTCCTCTGTTGGAATGATTGTGTCCCTGGTGAACCCGGACAGAGTGTTTGCTCTCCTTCCAGGAATGGTGTGCTCGTCCTCTCCAGTGAAACTCACTGCAGGCAGCAGAGCTGTGCAGACCAAGCTTTTCCTCCTCCTGGGATCAGGCAGCTTCACCTTTGGGAGGCAAAATGAAAAAAGCTCCCTGGAACAGCCTGGCTGTTCCTGCTGCCCAGGAAGCAGCTCCTCTCCTAATGAAACCATGCCATGCAGCAGCACGGCTGCTTTTCCAGCACAGCCAGCTTTCAGGTTGAATTTTTCTATAATTTTTTCCCTTTTTTCATCCCTTTCCAATTCATGCATTAAATAATGAAGATGCTGAGCCTCGGAGCTGAGCTGGAATTGTGTTTGTAGCTCGGCATGGCCGTGAGGTTGATTCGTTTTCTGCCTCAAACAGCATCTCCAACCAAATAAATTTCTGCGTATGGCACAGTAATATTAATATGGCACAGTAATAATATATTAATATTATAATAATCCCAGCTATCATCCTCTGTGATCCACCTTGGCTGGATCTTCATCCTCATCCCACCAGGCATCCAGTGGGATAAGTGAAAGCTTTCTAGGAAATGCTGCACCATTCCCAAAACGTTTGGAAGCCTTTAAACAATGATTTCATAGGAAGAGCTGCTCTTTCCCCACAAGTTACCCTCAGCTTCCAAACCCTGTGCAGGTATTGCCAACTTCTTTTTTTTTCTCTTGGGAAGCAATGGAATCTCTGCAAACCTATGTTTACTTTTCCAAGTGATGATCCTGTTACACCTTGTTACACCTACTTTGATATTGGGATGGGGGGAGGGAGATAAAAGGAAAAAAAACCAACATTCATAGGGGTTTTTTAAATAACTCAATATTTGTAATGCATCCTGCAGATGTGCATGGATTTTATTTGAATACTGGCAGCCTGTCAAGTCGGATGTTCCCACTAATCCTTTCTGGTCCAGCACCTGAAAACCTGGTTGGGATCTGAGCTTCCGGGGAAGCTCCAGGAGCACCAGGTTGGCTGTGCCTCCCTTTTCTGACAAAATTCCTTTCAGTCCATCCTTTTTCCCAGCCTATGAAACTGGTCAATGCCTGAGGTGGAGTAGGACACGTGTGTGTGGGTTCCTTCACTTTGTACCCCAGTCTTTTCTAAGTGGACACTCCGTCCCGCGTCCCAGCTGCATGCAGAGTTGGTGGTTGTCATGCCAGGCCTCGTGAAAATGTTTGATACCAATGTTTTGCTACCATGTGAAGGCTGCAGAAACCGTCCTTACCTGCATCCTGAGAGAATTTTGTATTTCAGTATTACCTATCTGTGTACTTTTGGTCAGATTTGTTAATATTTATAATGGGAACCGAAAATAAAAAGGTTAAAAAATAAAAATTAAAAAAAAAGGAAAGGTTGATGATGGTGGTGCAGATTTTGAATTTGGGGGATGGCAAGCATTTGGGAAGAAATGGTTTTAAACCAGAGCATTGGGGGCTTCTTGGTATATAGAATATACCATATTCTATATATATAGAATATATATATATAGCAATATAGCATAAATAATATAAATGTACTATATAAATACTATAAAATACTATCAATGTATTATAAATATTATATATATATTTATAAGTATTTATAAATATATATATGGGGATGGATATATATAGATATAATATAGGGATATATAGAGAGAGAGATATATATAGGGTTTTATATATATATATATATATATATATATATATGGAGAGAGAAAATACATAAATATGGCCCAATATATGGAGAGAGAAAATACATATATACATACATATATATGGCCTAATTAAGTACATATTCTACATGTATATTTTTAATTATTTGTGTTTAATATGTATTTAGTAGCCTTGAAGCCCAGCAAACCCAGGGCACAGGGAATGATGTCCAGACCCAGGTGCTCACAGATGGAAAACACAAGGAAAAAAAAAAATATTTACTCAATTAAATGATGCTCTGTTCAGCCATCAGATTTCTGTTTAAGTCACTCTTTATCCCCTCGGGAATAAAGAGCTGATTATAAAGAGCAGGAGGGGAGGACAAACCCTTCAGATTAAAATAAAGCTTAAGGTATTTGAAAGCCAAGCTGCTCTGGGGCACGTCAGCCCCTCCAGCTCTATAAAGAGGCTCTGCTTTTGGGGGAGCTCACCTGCCCCAGGTGCTGCTGCTCCATGGAGAGCACCCAGGAGCCCCCAAACAGCAGCACCCCAGGGCCCTTTGATGGCCCCCAGTGGCCCCACCAGGCCCCCAGGGCCATGTACCTGGCTGTGGCCGTGCTCATGGGGCTGGTGGTGGCCTCGGCCTCGGTGCTCAATGGCCTGGTCATCGTGGTGTCCATCCGGCACAAGAGGCTGCGCTCGCCCCTCAATTACATCCTGGTGAACCTGGCCGTGGCCAACCTGCTGGTGACGCTCTGCGGCAGCTCCGTCAGCCTCTCCAACAACATCCAGGGCTTCTTCGTCTTTGGGGAGCGCCTCTGCCAGCTGGAGGGCTTCATGGTGTCCCTGACAGGTAAGGAGAGCACTCCAGACCTGCCCCAGGGCTGTGGGTGGTGCTTTTGGGTTTGGCAGAGGGGCTTTGGAGATATTTCTGCACCTAAAGTCAGCACTTTTATGTTGTGGAAGTTGCGTCCTTCAGCTCTTGGTTGGCACAGGGAAGGTTGGCTGTGCCAGGTCACCACATGTCCAGTCTTGGTGTTGGCAGAGTGGGAAATGCCACTTGAGGACATGGAGAATCCTTGTTTGGGATGTATTTCATGGGTGCTGGCTGGTGCCAGGTCACCACACGTCCAGTCTTGGTCTTGACAGAGTAGAAAATGCCACTTGGGGACATTGGGAATCCTTTGGGATGTATTTCATGGGTGCTGGCTGTGCACCAGGGGCTGGAAATTGCACAAAACCTCTCCTTGAGGACACTGTGCTGCTGTAACCACGAGGCGTCACAGCCACCCATTGCCAACTTCATCTCTAAGGGCCAAATATCCCCGTTGTCCCTGCTGTGAGAGAAGCAGTGCCAAAATCACAGTTTCTAACAGCCAAATATCACAGCTGTCCCTGATGTGAGGAAAAAACATCTGACTTCTTGTTCAAACAATATTTCCCTGAACTAAACCATCGTCTAGCAGGTCCCAGCAGAGGCAGCAGAAGCTGTCCCTGAGACACAACCCCTGCTGTCCCCCCAGGCATCGTGGGGCTGTGGTCCCTGGCCATCCTGGCCTTGGAGAGGTACCTGGTGGTCTGCAGACCCCTGGGAGACTTTCGGTTCCAGCGCCGGCACGCTGCCAGCGGCTGTGCCTTCACCTGGGGCTGGTCCCTGCTCTGGACGACCCCACCACTGCTGGGCTGGAGCAGCTACGTGCCTGAAGGTAGGGCAGATGTGCATCAGACTCTGCTGTGTCGTCTTCTTGCTTCTTGTTTTCAAGCCTGGGGTAGCTGGAGGGTGTCTGGGCTGGAGTCTAAAGGGTTAATCTCTCCTGTTAATATCTCCTGCTTGCTCAGCCAATAATCCTCTCCTGGAGGTTGTTCTTTGGAAGTTCCCCACCACCGGACACTGCAGCAGTTGTTATTGGAGCTGCTGTAGCTGCTGGAGCATCACCCAGCCCAAACCCGCTCTTGTAGGGGCCTGACACAACTCCACCACAAATCACAAATCACATCTGGCCACCCCAAACCCCCAGTGGCTGATCTCCAGCCCTTGGGGATGGGGATGAGGTGGCATGGCTGTTTTGGAGCCCATCCTTGAGCCCTTATCCAAGCCCTAAGTGCTTTAGGCTCATTCCCAACCTTTATTCCAGGCCTGAGAACCTCCTGCGGACCCAACTGGTACACGGGCGGCAGCAACAACAGCAGCTACATCCTGGCCTTGTTTGTCACCTGCTTTGTGGTGCCCCTCAGCCTGATCCTCTTCTCCTACACCAACCTGCTGCTGACCCTGCGGGCGGTAAGTGAGCCCTGCAATTGTTTCATCCCACAAGGGCTGGGATGCTGTTCCAGGCTGCTGACAGGTCTCTCCTCTCTCCCAAACCCCCACAGGCAGCGGCACAGCAGCAGGAGTCGGACACGACGCAGCAGGCGGAGCGGGAGGTGACACGCATGGTGGTGGCCATGGTGGTGGCCTTCCTCACCTGCTGGCTGCCCTACACCACCTTTGCACTGGTGGTGGCCACCAACAAGGACATTGTCATCCAGCCAGCCCTGGCATCCCTGCCCTCCTACTTCTCCAAGACGGCCACAGTCTACAACCCCATCATCTACGTCTTCATGAACAAACAGGTGAGAGAAAGCTCCAAACAAACACAGCAACCAACAAACCAAGCTGGAGAACAGCTCAAAAATCCTGGAGGAACCATCTATCCTATCTGGAAGTGTGGTTCCAGGCTCGGGGTTGCTGTGTAAGCAGCAAGGATTTGGGGAATAAGATGGGAAGAGAGGGAGCAGCCTGCGAGCCCGAACAAGAGCTCATTTTCTGCTTCCATGGTTTTATGGGGTCAGGCAACTTAATGTTGGATCACAAGCTGCTCGTTGAAGGCACAAAGCAAACAGAATGAAACTTTTATTGTCCATAAACCACAAAGAGTTGGGCTGGGAATAGACAGAGATCTTTCCCAAAATACAACCAGGGTCCAAGCTGTCGAGTCGCCGGATTTCTGCTGTCACAAATAACCTGTCCCTTCCTTCCCTGCCCAGTTCCAGAGCTGCCTGCTGGGAATGCTGTGCTGTGGTTACCACCCCAGGGGCATGGGGAAAACCTCTCCAGCTGCCCCCGGTCCCCAGGTGGCTGCAGAGGGGCTGAGGAACAAGGTGACACCATCCCACCCCGTGTGACAACAGCCACATCCTGCCTGCACCAGTGCCAGCTCCAGGACCTGCCTGTGCCACCCACAGCAGCACAGAGGGCTTGGGTGGAGCTGATGGGGGCTCTCCGAGGCTGGAGAGGTCCCCAACAACATAAAAAAGACAGGACAGTGTCTTCTTGCAGGTGAGGAGCCATCCCATCATGGGAGACAATGCAGATTTTCACTATGTCCCTCTCCTAAGGAACCCCCTCCCTCCCAGCCCCTTACTTTGAAGCCTTTCAAGAACACCAAATAAAAAATGAACAGTAATTTTTCCTCAGTGCTGTTTGGCCCAGAGTCAGGTGGAGCATGGTCTGTCACCATCCCCTGACAGACCAAGCCCTGCCTGCAACGCCTGGTCCTGCTGGGAAGTTCAGGGAGATGCTGCAAACCTGGCATAAATCCAGCAGGAATGTTTGAGAGCCAACTGTGTTAATAAACACTGATAAATACTGAGCAGTTCATCTGTTTTATTGGCTGGTGGAAGGTTTGACAGAAAACACATCCCCTCCTGCCACCAGAGCTGGCACATCACTCGTGGCAAGTGCCACAAACATCCCTACAGACAGCCAGGAAATAAAACAGACACAAAGTTAATTTTCTTTTTTTAGACTTAAGGCAATAAGGAAAGGTCTGAATGCACTGATTTCCCAGCAAGGGTGAAAACATGAGTGGTACCAGGCCTCAAGGCATAGCAGAAACCCACCAGGAGCAAACAAAAGATGCCAAAGCCTGAAAGGATAAAATAAAAGATAAAAAACCTCCACGGGCTCCACAGCTTCACACCTCATCTCAAATCTCCAATCCCAATGTTTATCTACCCCAGCTGCAATCACACTTCTGTTTTTGGAGGCAGATTCTGTCATTCAGGAGCCCAGGAAAGGCTGCTGAAGGTGATATTGAACACTGCAAGTCGATGAAACTGGGTTTCACCCAATTCCTCTATCTCTAAAAAAGCCTGCCAGCCTTCAGAGTTGTCTTATAGAGTTCTGATCCTGAACCCTTGAATTGCTTTCAAAATGAGGTGATCCACAGCCAGGCACCCCAGCAATTTGCACTGCCATGGAGGATGATGAGATCTGGGAGACTGAGGGTTTGGTTTTTGGTTTTTTTTCACCATCTGAGATTCTCTGCTTCAAACCAAAAATAAAACAAAAATCCCCAAACCACCCCAGTCCAAAGGAATGAAACACGTTGGAGCAACCTGGGCTAGTGGAAGGTAGCAGAGGGGTGGAATTAAATAATATTTATGGCATCTTCCAACCCAAACCATTCCATGTCTCCATGGCCTGGTGTGGGGGGACAGGACACCCATCCCCACCCCTGTCTCAGCCTCCCTCTCTCCTGCTGTGCAGAACAGCTCACAGGGCTCAGAGAGGAATTAGAACAGCTCAGTATCACTGTTTTAATTTAATTAATTGGGCTTTCATTCTCTGGGAAGCTGAAAAGCAGCATTAGATGGGCCCTCTGATCTCCTCTGCTGTCTTGCACTGGTCCTTGTTTAATTGTTCCTGTTAATCACAGCTTTTGTGCCCATGCTTTATGTTATCAGGATGATTCAAGTCCGTGCTAAACTTAAATCTGGGGAAGCACAAGCAGCTGAGAAACTGAAATCTCTGTTGTGTTCTGGCCCCGATAAGGAGATCAGACAGGCCATGGGGCTGCTTGAAAGGCCCTCCACCAACAGAAATAAAAATTCTCCACATTAAGATTAAAAAAAGATAGGGAAACTGTTCACAGTCTGCTCACCATTTGGTCCCACAGATAAAATAGAACAAGAAATGCAGGAAGCTGAGATTTCACATGTTGTTATCCAGCCAGGGATGGATAATTCTGTGCATGTGAAAACGCTCCCGTGCTGCTCTCCACACACTGCTGCAGCCACTTGGCTTTGGCTACTTTTTATTTAATTAAACAAGCCTGAAACCCAACAAAAACACCACCCAAAGTGAGAGGGAATGACCCTTGGTCACAAGCCACCAAGGACAGGATCACAAAATCCAAATTTGCAATTTAACTTTTTGCGCTCTCTGTCCCTGCTGGTGACACAGCCCCGGGGCCGTGGGGAGCAGGATCTTGTTCCAGCAGCTCCTACCAGGAATAAAAATCCTCCTGCCTGCAGCACAGGAGTCCCACACAGAGAATCCAGGTTGGAACAAGGCTGGGTTAGAAAATATTAAACATTTTTTTGGCCACAATTGTGTCACAGCCTGGGGCGAGGCCTGTGCTAGGCCTGAGGCGCCTCTGTCACTGCCACCACAGCACAAACACATAAAAGATTTTTATTTTCTCTTACTTTTCCTCAGAAACATTTTTATTTTCTCTTATCTTTCCTCAGAAATATTTTTATTTTCTCTTATCTTTTCTCCCCCACGCCTGCAGGATCCTCCCTGGAGCAGCTCCATCAGGGCCTGGTTGTATCATGGCCTGATGATGGGAAGCAATGTTAAAAACAAATTACAAACTCCAACAAAACAACCCCAAAATTGAACCTCCAAGCCAGAAAAAGAACCAAAGGCAGCACAATAACCCTGGAAACTTTTATTAATGTTGTTTAACCAAATGAACAGGTAAAAAATTGGAGCATTTCCTTGCAAAAGCAGGAATGAAGATGCAAAACTTGATGTACAACAGCAGCTCAAAGCCCAGGGAACAGGACAACCTTCACTCCTGCACCTTGAACAGTATTTATCACAAAAAAGTGTGAAATATGAAATTGCTGTGCCTATCAAAATTCTCATCCAAAACTCAATTATATCCAGAGATCTTGGTGGGTTTTTTTTGGACAAGGCCTACCCAAAATGTGGTTGAATTAAACACCAGGTATCTTCATAACAACCACATTTTTTTTCCACATTCTTGTCTGATGCTGGCAGGGAACATATTGCTGCACTTGCAATCTCTGGAGAACATTGCCTTTTCCTCATTAGCTTTTTGCACAGCAATTAATCCCTTTAATCAGTCAAATCAGTTCAACACTAGATCACAAAAGCACTAAGTAAAGAGAAAACAAGAAATTACCTTGTTAAATTTAATGAGCAAGGAAAAACAGACTCTACATGGGCTGCAACACTCCAGCATGGAAACATTTCAGTGCCTGAGCAGCACCAGCAGCCCACAGAATTACAATCATTTTGTCTTTAATCTGAAAACTGCATAATGCAACAGAGCAAGGAATTCTCTAGCTTATGAAAATGTGCACGTGCAGAATAAAAAGCAGTTTCATAAGGATGTGACAGTAAAAAAAAAAAAACAGCTCACTTCTGCACATTGACACTGCCTGGGCATGCAACAATGGCATCAAACCAGTACAAAACATTTCAGAACACAAAGCATTGGGTTTCCTTCTGAACTTGCTGCTGCTGTTAAAGGAAATCTGAGCTTTACAGGTGTTTATGTGGCCAAAAAGGGCTGTAATTCACAGAATAAACACTGTGCAAGCAGCAGCAAGCAGGTGATGTGTAGAACTTATTTACTCTGTGTTTTAATCACGGAGAGAGCTCTCATCCAAAATAATTTTCCTGCAGGGAACAAAAAAAAAAAAGAGGAAAAAATGGTTATGAAGTTGTTTTATCTTCTGTAAAGTACAAGATGAAGGGAATGGGATTTCACAGTGTATCTTTTTAATGGAAGACAGGAATGCAGCTCATGCCACAAATAAATTTCTGCCACAATTCCAGTTTAACTCACAGAGTCTCACCTGAAGGGTGGAGCTGGAGCCAGCTGCTGCTGGGGGTGGGATTTCTGATCCTTGATCTCATCTAAAAAACAGGGAAATTCAGCTCAGAACATGACAGCCACACAGAGACAGCAACTGAATCAAGAGCTGCAGGTTCCTCTGCTTGATTCATTCAGCCCCATTTGGAATCAGAGCCCAGTCCCAGCTCTGCTGCATCACCCAGGACCCTCATGGGGATCAGAAAATCAGAAATAATCCTGATTTCCATCCCTGAATCCCAATCCCAGCTCAGCTGTGGAGCTCTGACAGCAAACAGGGGCACAGCTGCTGTTGCTGTAACAATTTGTTATTGTAATGCAATAACAAGCACAGGGATGTCACCCCCAGGCTTCTACACTTTAAAATTGCCATCAATATTTCCAAAAGTAACCAGAGATTTGGGACATTTCAAACTTTGGGTGCATCCAGCAGCTCTACAGACCAAGGGCACCTGCTGAAGTTCCTGCAGAGATTCCTGGTGCTCTGCCTCCAGCCCAGGCTTCTCTCTGCTCTACTTCATTCTTCCTTCCAGCATCTTCTGGATCCTCCAGGCTGGCAACCCTTCAATGACAAAGTTTTGTGTATCATCCTCTTTTTTTTTTTTTTTTTTTTTTTGTTTTTATCAGGATTAAATAGAAAATTCTCATGCCAAACATTCTGATGCCAATGAGTTCCTTAGTGAGACAGAAGTTAGGGATATGAGCACTCACTGTGGAGCTGTTCAGAGTTACTGGGCTCTGATCTTTAGTTCCAAGAGGAAAACCAGTTATTTGGGATATGAATATTTTCCTTAAAATGATGTTTAAATGACTTCTGCCATGTTCTTCAAATTTCCTAATATACTGCCATGAAAGCTCAACCATTTTCACAAACTCTTCTTTCTAAAGAGCTTTCAATGACTCTGTTCTCTTAATGCACATTTTCTCTGTCTCAAAAAATTCCCCCATTCTGTCAAATTATCTCTGATTTCTGTAAAGACCAAGCACTGCCTTTCAGGGCTGTTGAAGTATTTGCTTTCCACCTACAGGAAGCTGTATTAACAAAACATTCTTTTCCATCTCAATTTAGTAGGAGAGTTCACATTCACGTCTCCAGGCAAGTTCCCTGGCACTCTCCACTCCCCAAGGAGTCTCAGCCCATTTTCTGAAAAGTCCTCCACAGATCTGCACACAGCACACAAAATAAACCCTTGAACACAAATAGAAATTATCAGCTCACCCAAGAGTGTGTCCCTGAGGCTCTTCTTGGATCTCCTCATCTCCAGGAACTGC